TTGTAGTATGAGGTATAGCCCTTTTAACCCCTTGGATCCATGTGACGTGACTGTCGTGTCATGAAAAAATCTGGGTTGAGGGGCGGGTCAGAGGAATATGCCGTCAGGGGAAAATGTGGCTGTAGGCTGGGTGACGTGAACCTGCTGTTCTGAGCGTTTCGACTGAGGGTGATGGAAAAGACTCGCCACAAATCTACTAGGAGGTTTATTTTACTCATTTGGTGATTTTGCATTATTCCCATTGAATTACATCATTTTATTTTTCTTGTACTGAATTGTAGACTACCTTGAGAGATGATATGAAGTCTGTGCAAAGAAAAAACTATTACCATCTGGAGAATGCAAATAAAATGGCAGATATGCATTTTGGAAAATGGCTAAAAAGCTAAAAATGCTTATGCTTAAAAAGAGTAAATAACTTTGCAAATAGGAGGCATAGAGTCTTGTCACCACACACACACCCGGCCAACAGGCATCCACCCATGTAAGCCTAATGCTCGGATTTTTGGATTTTTGGTCATTTGATTGCTGTGATGCAACTGGATCCAATGGGTTAAGAAAATGCTTTTTAAGTGTTTATTTGTTCCTTATCTCCCATTCTATGATTTTTGATTTATTGTGTTATTGATTTGCTTATTATGATTAAGGCTTCAGTTAACTAAAGCTTTTTTTATCCTTTTTATCATAGATAGTTAGGAATATGCCTTTAACCTGTATGATGATTAGAAAAAAAAAAGTAGTGGCTTCCTATAACAGGGTAAAAGTTAATTATTTTTACTTTTTTTATTTGAAGTTTGTGTAACAAGGTAAAAGACCTTACAAAATCAAGAGATCGTCGTAAATCTAGTAGAATATATGTAAATCGAGATCCATAACAAAGATATTAAAGTCAGTTGACAAAAAAAAAGTACACTGATTTATGGAAGTGAATTGAACTATGACAACTGTTTAGCTTGAGGTTAGAGCTTGAGTGATGCAGGGCGTTGAGCTGCAATGCGTGGGGTGCTTTGATTATTTTAGAAAGAAGGCATTGGGGTTCAGAAATGTGGGAGTTTGATTTTCACCTCCGACTGTTGGGAGGAATTAGAAGAAAAGAACTTGTTTTGGGAAGGATGGGATAAGTAAGAGAGAGAGAGAGAGAGAGAGAGAGAGAGAGAGAGAGAGAGAGAGAGAGAGAGAGAGAGAGAGTGTGTGTGTGTGTGTGTGTGTGTGTGTGTGTGTGTGTGTGTGTGTGTGTGTGTGTGTGTGTGTGTGTGTGTGTGTGTGTGTGTGTGTGTGTGACAGACACAGAGAGAAAAGGGGGGAGGGGAGAAGGAGAGGGAGATTGAGAGTGTATGAGCATGAGAGAGAGTGTGGGTGGGTGGGTGGGTTTTTATTGTTGGTGTATATTTTTTTTACTTCCATTTGTTACCATACTTTTTAATTTTCTCTTTGTTTCATATGACTTCTATTTCTGCCTTTTTCTTTTGTTTTCTTTCCTTTCCTTTCCTTTCCTTTCCTTTCCTTTCCTTTCCTTTCCTTTCCTTTCTCCTCTCCCTTCTCACCCTGCTCTATCCCCTTCCTTTCTGTCCTTTTTCTCTCTCCCTCTCTTTTTCATTCCTCAACAGACAATTTGCTATTTCTCTCTTGCTGTCTCTTTCTTTCTTTCTTATTTTCTTTTTGTTCTTTCTTTTTCTTTTTCTTTTTTCATTCTTGTTTTCATTTTTTCTTTCTTTCTTTCTCTTTTCTTTTTTTTCTTTCTTTTTTTCTTTCTTTCCTTTTTCTTTCTTTTTTTTCTTCTCTTCTCTTCTCTTCACATCTCTTCTCTTCTCTTCTCTTCTCTCTCTTCTCTTCTCTTCTCTTCTCTTCCCTTTTCTCTTCTCTTCTCTTCTCTTCTCATCTCATCTCATCTCATCTCATCTCATCTCATCTCATCTCTTCTCTTCTCTTCTCTCCTTTCCTCTCTTCTCTTTCCCCCCCCCCCCCTCCTCTCCTCTCCTCTCTTCTCATCTGATCTCTTGATTTCATTTCACTCCACTCTGTGTCACTTCGCTCCTCTCTTCTCCTCTCTGCTCTACTCTCCTCCTCCTCTCCTCTCTCCTCTCCTCTCCTCTCTCCTCTCCTCTCTTCTCCTCTCCTCTCCTCTCCTCTCCTCTCTCCTTTCCTCTCCTCTCTCCTCTCCACTCCTCTCCTTTCCTCTCCTCTCCTCTCCTCCCCTCTCCTCCCCTCTCCTCCCCTCTCCTCCCCTCTCGTTTACTCTCACCCTTTACTCTCTCCCTTTACTCTCTCATTCTCCCTCTTTCCCTCCCTATTCCTCAGTCTCCTTCCCTTTGCCTCTGTTTCCCTGCCTCTCCTACTCCCTTTCCTTCTCCTTTTTTTCCCACTCTCCCAGCCAATTAAGAAGTTTTAATTTTGTTCATTACAGTCCTCTTGGATGGAGGCAATGACACAGGACAAAGTTGTTCAGGCCACCTACTTGCCGCCAGAAGCACATTTCGAGTACCTCACCTCAGTTAGAAATCGGATGGGGATGCCGCCCAAGCTGTAGCAAAACTTGATGATGAACTTTCTCTAGGTGGAGTTAAGTTCATAGTTCGAAGGTTATATCATTTTGTCCCGGGGGGCGTCTTTTGTGCTGGAGATACGCGGCTAAGCTGGCGGATGTCTTTTGATTTTGGAAGTGAAAGTAAGATTGGAGGTTGGTTGTTTGCAAGCATGTTGCAAGAGTTGGTCAATGAGGATGCATTTTAACCTGTGGCTTAGTGAATTGTTTAAAGCTTGGTTGAAGATTTTGATGAGTTTTTGAAGATTTCACTTGTGCTTACCTTGCTAAGTTTGTCTGCAAATGTGATGGCTTGATTTTGCTTACTGGTGCATGAAACAGGATGAGCTTTTAAATTAAGCCTTTGAGTTGCTTATGTCATCACATACTTTTGTTGACTTGTGTTATTAGAGATTCACTTTTTTTTTTTACACAAAAAACAACAACATTTTACAAGGTTTAGAGAATATGAAGTAAAATTTAAAACTCCCATATCATATTCAGAGGGCATAGATTTTTTTTTCTTCTTTTTCAGCCAATTACAGACCTAAGTTTCAAAGTAGACACATTCTATATACACAAAGCATTATTTTTGAGCATTTAGAGATGTAAATAATGGGATACACAGAGTTTTATTTTAAGAATTTTAATATACTGATGATAGGATACACAAAGATTTATTTTTTAAAAATTGAGAGTAGAAATAATAGCTTCAGGTGTGTACAGGTCATTTTGCTGTTCAAATCTCTCTCAGCTGTTTTTTTATTTACTACAGATCTTGTTTTGATTTTTATATTTTTATTATTTACTTTGTTGTTTCAATAGTTAAACAAATTTCTATATTTTCAATTAATAGATATGTATTTTTCTCTATACCATTTTTGCCACTTTGCAGTTCTTGTATTTGCATTGGAGAGTATAACCAGTATAGTGCATTGCATATAGTGCCTTGTCCTATCTTTATTTTGCACTTTTTATAGTTATGTGTCTTAATTTTTCATGCTTCCTTGTATGAGCTGTTAGTTCTATAACACCTGTTTAGCTTTTGATTCATATCATGTTGAATATCACTGCTAAAAAGTTGAGAAGCAGAAAAGGGATGTGTTTTTAGTTGCTAAAATAATAATGATAATAATAATAATAATAATTAAGATAGGTACAGTTTTTTTAAATATCTTTTTGAAATAAAGGTGTGGAAATGAGTGTTTTCAACTAACTTTGTTGTTTTTCCTTGATGTGTCTCTCTCTCTCTTTTTCTTTCTCTGTTGTTTTTTTCTCTCTCTTTTTCTTTCTCTTTTTCTTTCTCTTTCTCTCTCTCTTTTTCTCTCTTTTTCTTTCTCTTTCTTTCTCTTTCTCTTTCTCTTTCTCTTTCTCTTTCTCTTTCTCTTTCACTTTCTCTTTCTCTTTCTCTTTCTCTTTCTCTTTCTCTTTCTCTTTCTCTTTCACTTTCACTTTCACTTTCACTTTCACTTTCACTTTCTCTTTCTCTTTCTCTTTCTCTTTCTCTTTCACTTTCACTTTCACTTTCACTTTCTCTTTCTCTTTCTCTTTCTCTCTCTCTCTCTCTCTCTCTCTCTCTCTCTCTCTTTTCTCTTCTTTCTCTCTCTTTCTCTTCTTTTCTCTCTTTCTCTCTCTCTCTCTTCTTTCTCTCTCTTTTTCTTTTCTTTCTTTCTCTCTCTTTTTCTTTTCTTTCTTTCTCTCTCTTTTTCTTTTCTTTCTCTCTCTCTCTCTCTCTCTCTCTCTCTCTCTCTCTCTCTCTCTCTCTCTCTCTCTCTCTCTCTCTCTCTCTCTCTCTCTTTTTCCTTTCTTTCTTTCTCACAAGCTTTGCTTTTGTTCTATGCTTTTACAGAATAATAATGACCTGAAACTAACACTGATAGAAGACATAACATATATATATATATATATATATATATATATATATATATATATATATATATATATATATATATATATATACAGATACATAGATACATAGATATATATATAGATAGATAGGTACAGTGGATTAAATCCGTACTTCCTTTGTAGTTTGAATGGGCGGAGAAAATGAAGGAAGACAAAGCCGTGAGCGCAGTCTTCATAAGTGCCGAGTCCCATTTCAAGTTCCTGAAGTCACACATCGACGGTGCTCCAGATTACGACATGGAGGTGTAGGGGGCTTAATCATTCCAAGATGGAGCGGAAACGTGTGGAAATTCAATGGAAATGTTGTTTATGTGTAGGCTGTTTTCTGTTCGGATTTGTTCAGGCTTTGAATGACGTTCTTTATACTTCATGATTTGTTCAGTCAATGGATTATTTTCTTATTGATAGGTTGTCTCTCATTTTAAGAAGGTAATGTGTTTTTTCGGAAAGCTTTTAAATACATATTATCAATTAAATACTTAATTGTCCATTAAATTATGATAAAAAGCTTCTGTTCTGAATATCTCCATATATTAAGCTGAATATGTGTTGGTGAATAGGTGTATGTATATCAGTTATCATTAAAAACTTGATATGTTTCAATGACTTTATGTATTAATATCAGGAATAATAATAAGTCAGTTGATTATATTTATGCTTATTTCTATTTCCTTTATTTACACTAAATTGTATATAAAACTTTTAGGAAAGGTATAGATCTTAAATGAATAAGAATTATAATAAAAATTATGCAGATGATGCCAAATAATGATGATGATAATAATAATGATAATGATAATAATAATAATAATAATAATAATAATAATAATAATAATAATAATAATAATATCCCATCTGGATGTGAATGGAATCTGGGGTTTTATATAAACGAGTTTTTGCCACATGCTGTTTACCTCAATATGTTATCAGCTTTGCACATAAAGCTTAGATAATGTATTAAGAAGAGAAAGAGGTATTTTTCCCATGGGGTGGTAAATTACATTCAGATGTTTGTGCTATTTCTCTCTCTCTCTCTCTCTCTCTCTCTCTCTCTCTCTCTCTCTCTCTCTCTCTCTCTCTCTCTCTCTCTCTCTCTCTCTCTCTCTCTCTCTCTCTCTCTCTCTCTCTCTCTTTCTTTTCTTTCTCTTTCTTTCTCTCTCTCTCTCTCTCCCTCCCTCTCCCTCTCCCTCTCCCCCTCCCAACCTTCCTGCCTTCCTCCCTCCCTACCTTCCTTCCTTCCTCCCTCCCTCCCTCCCTCCCTCCCTCCCTCCCTCCCTCCCTCCCTGATTTTTTGCAGTATTCCCATCAATAAACGAGTGTGGAATGTAATGTCTGTGAACCATGACTGGGAGAGTACCTTGGAAGACACCATTTCCTTGGTCAGCATCATATTCCTGGCATCATGATTAGTGATGCAGGTTGTGTTACAGAAAACTGAATATTATGAAAAGATGACACAAATAACAAAATATGGCTATTGAAAAATGGCAGAAAAGTTAAAAACACTTATGGATAAAGAGAGAAATTAACATTGCAAATAGGAGGCATAGAGTCTTGTCACCGCACAGGAGTTCGCGTGTGCCTGGTCTAAATGCAGCACAGCTGTCAGAGTGGCCGCTCACACAAGCCTAGTGCCGTTATTTTGGGGTATGTGATTGTTGTGAAGCAACCAAATCCAAGGGGTTTAAATAAAACAGGTGACTGATCTGCAACACTATAGTTATTTCTACCCAATTAAAATGTGCATAGGTTATAGAAAGAAAGAAAGACAGAAAGAAAAAAAAATTCAGATGGACAAGGAAACACTTAACATGAATTAGATTTTATTAAAATTAAACATCACAACATAACACTTACCAGTAATTGAAGTCAACATTTACATGAAGGAAAAACATCCTACATTGTATTGATGCGTCCAGCACGAGACGACTTGGCACAAATTACATTTATATATCACACTTGATATATAAAGAGTATTCTAGATAAGGCACATAATTATAACTTGCATGTTAGTTAAAAGTCAAGTAATAATCAACAAAAATACTTCCACACAGAATATACTTTGACTTTACTTTTTTTAATGCACTGCATACAATTATATTCAAGCTTCTCAACTTTGTAAACATGCATCTGAGTTTATACATTTACAATACAATAAAACAAAATAAGACAATCTTAACCCTCACATTATGTGGTAATGGTACTCAAATATTCCTGGCGACACAACATAAACCACCCATTGCAGAAAATACAAAACATACACTATGATATAACTGTTACAGTCATGACATTTGGCACATTTTCATTCCTGAACCCTAAGGCAATAGTTGGGTGATCTTGCAGCATCCACGGACTAAGAGAGGCAGTGAGTTAGTATAATAAATCTTCTAAAATGAACCTTCAAAGTGAAAGAAAAAAAAGAAAAAAAGAGAGAGAAAAAAAAAGTATCTAATACATCATATATTCACATCTGACCTTCATGTATAAAAGGTGTGAATGAGAATGAATATCTTCACAATACAATATATGTATTTGACTGGTATGGATTATATCTTTGTCAGAAACACATCTCTTGTACCGTGAAGATATTCATTCTCATTCATACCTTTTATACATTTATTAACATGAATATGGTTCATCTGATCTTTACCTTGACATACTCTTTTAGAGAATTCTTCAATTCAAATGTCACACAATTTAACTTAAAAAAGAGGAAGAAAGAAAAAAATAAAGCACCTATTACATCATATATTCATATTTGATTCTTTCCCCAAACATATTTTTTTTACAAAAAATGTGACTCAACTGTATTTCCCAAAAGATAATAATTAGTCAAACAGAGAAACAAAAAAAACATCAACATGCAAATCATCAAACAACACTAATATACTAAGCAGTACTTCTGTGCATATTAATACAAAAATTACAGATTTTGGTCTGTTCCTTCAGGAGCAATCTGTTCTATGGCAAGAATCGTTTCCTTAACAAAAACACAAACCAAGGAAACCTGAAATGTGCAATAAGTATATCAAATACCATCTATGTTTCACAAAAGCTCATCAGTATTATATACATCCTTAGGTTATAAAATGACCCTAATGTTCAGTATCATAAAAAACTCTGCAGGTACAAAAAATCGAGAATATGTGATACACAAAGAGGTATTTTTGTTCAGGTGATTGTACATAATCCATTACTTCTTTCATATTTGTTAAAATAATAGTTTTCTTCTTATAAAATGCTCAAGAACTTACATAGAAGCATGAACTGAAACAAACAAGGTGATCCTTATTGTTCCACATATGTTTTGTTCTAGTTAAAAATGCTCTGTTATTTATACTTACATTGATATTCAAATCTTAGATCATTATATATATATATATGTTTCTTTCATGTTACTTGAAACAAACTAAGCTTGATTCCTGTTCATTCACTTTAATAATCTGCTGTACTATATTCTATAAATCTGAGTAACAAATTACTAAATTATGAAACTAGGGCACAGGATTCTCAGCATAGATTAAGAAGGCTTGGAATATTTACTTTCTGGAATTTAAAAGCAGAAAGTGAAGAAATGAATACAGCCAAAACATTTCTTCTTCGATTTCACAAACACATCATGATGATAGGAAAATGTGACCTCATGCTAAGTAATTTAACATATTCAGTGACAAAAACTAGTATTTTTCTCACCAAAGTATTTGTGGAATTTCATAACAATTTTTCCTTACCATTTTTCATTAATGTTTATATACTTTGTAAAGCTTGTTCTTTAAACTGTAAAACACAACAAATTCATAATCTATGAATCTTGCTATTCCTATATTTTTCAGCTGCTTATATGACTTTTATAAGTGCAAATAAACAACACACAAACTTGTGATTATTCCTAAATGGCACAACATACCAGAAAAATACCAGAACAAAACAATTCAGCTGAATTTGTTGGCTGCCATTGGATAACACTATAGATATTTGTGGCACTCCCTGATGAAGTGAGGCAAGAAAAAGTAAGGAAAAGGGGAGAAAATGGCACTTAAGGTTGGGCACTCATTGATTACATATTTCTGGAATCGTTTACATGAAGGAAAAATATCCTGCATTGTATTGATTAGTCTAGCACAAGACGACTTGGCACAAATGACATATATATATATCACACTTGATATATAAAGAGTATTCTTGTGAGGCAAGTGATGAGGAAACAAAGAAAACAAGAAAGCAACAGAAGAAGAACATTGAGATGAAGAAAAATGAGGAGACAAAGAAGGAGATAAATGAGAAGAAAAAGAAGGAAAAGAAGAAGAAGAAGAGGTGGAAGGAGAAGTCAAAGTAGATCAAAAGAGAATATTGGTAAGAAAGGGTATTTGTATGACAGAAATCCACCTTAATGCCTCTACCTTTTAAAACTTAAGTCCAGAAATATGCCTCAGAATATCCCGAATTTCTGGAAATGAACTCTCTGAATTTGGCAATCCTGTTATTTCTGATAGTTTTTCTGGGCTTTTGTATGGAATAAAATCCACATTAATACCTCTACCACTTTGAATTAAAGCCTATAAACTTGCCCCAGCATACCAGGATAGCTTCAAATCAACCTCAAGCCACTTACTATACTTCAGCAAGAAATGCCACAGTAATAAATGCAAAACTTTTGAGCAATACAACCTTTGTTTTGTTCACAAGTAGTAAACAGCAGCAAAACATAAAATACTTGAGACAAATGATGTCTACAGTAAAATGTCTACATATCAGTATTTTCACTATGACATTGTTTAAATGCATGTTATCTCTTACACCAAAACAATAAATTGTGAAATAAAGGCAATAATTATAGAATTCACACTCAATAAAAAAAAAGCTTTACCTCATTTTATAATGTTCATAAGTATCAATAGCACCAAATAAAAATGCTTTTACACTTTACTCATTTTCATCTTGTTACATGAAACCTGTGTACAACAAAAAGGAAACAAATGCACCATTACTCGTCTTCACTCACATGAACAGATGATAAAGAAACAAATATTGTAAAAGCTATATGGCAAACTTCATAGTGCAGATGTAAACAAAACAAACATACAAAACAAAAAGAAAGAAAGAAGGAAAAAGAAAGAAAGAAAGAAAGAAAGAAAGAAAGAAGGAAGTAAGGAGAGAAGGAAAGAAAGACAGAAAGAAAGAAAGAAAGACAGAAAGAAAGAACGAAAGACAGAAAGACAGAAAGAAAGAAAGAAAAGAAAAAGAGAGAGGAAAAAAAAGAAAATCAGGAATAATTGTGCATTTCCTGCTCTTTCCTTTGTTCTGTCTACACCTTATTTAGCCCTAATTCTCCACAACTTATTCAAGGATCAAGCACACATCAAAAGGTCTACACCACACTAATATAAAAATATAACCTACTCATATCAACTAGTATTTTGTGCGATATGGTTAAAAGAGCTTAACATAAACAACACGAGACTTGGAACTGCAACTAAATTACTAATAATCTTATTACATGATATCTAATGCCAGTAATTATACATGACTCAATAATCCAAGTGTTTATGAATCATATCTGTGACAGTTCTTCTCATAAACAGCTAGAAGTTTGGAGGAAATGAATATGATTTGTGATTATTTTATCAACACAGTCGGGTCTGTATTTGTGAATGCCTCTTTGCCTATGAGAACATTGGCACATGTTTTGCTGTGAAATTTAGCTTGTGAAAGTTAGGATACACATTCTGTAATGAATAAATGAGTAAGTAATAACAGGCAAGAACTCATTTAGAAAGCAGGCAGATAAGAGGTACTGTTAAGCAACGGCAGTAAATTAAAAATAATGAGTTAATCTGACCCAATTTTGAGGTAAAATCAGTGTAAAGCTATGTTATTCCAACAGTTGACTTTCAATATATATATATGTACTAGCAGGGCCATCATATTCATTTTAAAGCACTAAAATTTCTGAGTCAAAATTATCTATATAAGCATTATCAAAAATATTCATTACATACAACTAATTCATTGTAAAGAAGAACTATTAACCAACTGTACTGAAGAACACTTAATCTATTATAAAGAACAACTAAGAAATGGAGGCTCATTTCAGTATGTACATGCATTTATAATGTTTACATGTGTTGTTAACATTATATGATACATATACTTCATGTACAAGTATACTGCCTTAACATGTTGCACTCTGGTGTCAATAGGTATCTGAAAGTTAAGCTTTTGGCCCAAACCTTGATGCAAAATCCTCAATGGTCACTCTAACATAGCAAGACTTACTTTGGCCAACTCAACGCTTTTGGCTCCATGGGTGCAACAGGTCAAGAATCATACACCATGAGACACTCAAGCATATATAAATCTTCCATGTGTATATCTGTATTGCATATATAGCATGTTGTATATATATACTTGTGTATATATATATATATATATATATATATATATATATATATATATATATATATATATATATATATATATATATATATATATATATATATGCATACTATAATTAGTGCATATGCTTAGTCTTATATATAATAGCTGAATATAGTAAGTATTACTTACATGTTTGAACTCTGGGATCTGCAAGTTTGTGCAGTTATTGTGGGGAAAACTTTGTACACAATTTTCCAAAACTCTGGACTATTACATAAAAAAAAAATCCTTTCCATCTTGTCCTGGCTCTAAATCTTTATGTCATTTAACACAGACTTCCCTTCCTTATTTTCTTTGTCAGAATGAATAACATCAAGTACAATATCAGGTCTTCATCAAAGTTCCAAAGGCAATACATGTCCACTTGATCATGATTAATGCAATATTACATTCCTCTGAACAGTATATAAAAAAAATTCTCTTGTCATGGCATCTATGTCTCTCTATATATGCCTATCTCTGTCTACTATCCTATCAGTCTCTCTTTCTCTTTATGCCTCTGTGAGTGCATGTCTGTCATTGTAACAGCTATTAGTCATTATCATTAGTTAATGCTATTACTATCTAGTTAGTGTATTCACTATCTAATCAATGATTCGATAGTAAGTTAAGATACTCCTGACCTAGCTAACAATATTAATATATAAGCATTATTATTGGTATTTACTGTATTAACTGTAGAGTAAATTAACATTCACTGTAATCATATCTTAATTAAGTATTTGTTACTTATTTGTAAACTTCATAACAAGGCATATACTCTACCAAGCTTCGTAAGCATCAATTCTGCCACTGACTCCAACTGGCCACTCGGTGCTGGACTACCAAACCAGGATAGGCCCCTCATTTGGCCTTATTTCCTGCTTACTTTCCTACCCCTTTCTCACACAGATCAACCCTTATACTCTCAAGGATAACCCTGTGAACTCAGAAGACTAATCTCCTACATCTATAATATACTGTTGCTGTTGTGTATCTCTGACCTCTTCTGAAACTCTCTTCCTGTGTGTGTTGACCAAGCACATTATACCTGCAATTTACCCAGTGACACTATTTCACTCCTTCTTTACGTGTCTTTTTCCGTCTGTCTGTCTGTCTGTCCTTCTCTGAGTTTATCGAGAAATTGACATTCAATCCCCACACCGCCAGTGGATGGTAACCCCAGCCATTCCTTGCACACAGGGGGTAATTTAGAAGCATCCATAAAAAGATAGCCTGACACACCAAGAATAACCATTGTAACAAATGGAATAAAGCTAAGTTATAATAATAATTTTTAAAACTAAATCAATGTCTACACAATACAACAGAAACAAACTAATTTAAAGAGAAAATTTATAAACACTGAAAATTACAACAATGAAGGTATAGAGAAGATCAAGAAAAAATATACAGATTGGAAAGAAGTGAGGGAAAGAGGGGGGAGGACAGGAGGATAAAGCTGGAAGACATGATTTTTAAGAAAAAGAAATGAAGAGAAAGAAATCTGTGACAAGAGAGAATAAAAGTCAGTAGAAGCAATTCACATGCAGAAAATTGCTAGCTCACAATGAATTCTAATATATCTATCTGTTTTCTTTAAATACATAAAGGCCCTAAAGTTAACATTCGCCTATCCTTTTCATAGATCTTGGACATGTATTGCCAATGGTGCTCAGATACTTCCCTCAGGCTTCTTACCTTAACAGAAATGAGTATTGTTCAAACTTACCATTGACATTTTGTTAAGTTTAGAGGCTGACTATCTTTCTTGGCAAGAAGAGAAATGAAAATGAAAATGAAAAAAAAAAAAAAAAAAAAAAAAAAAAAAAAAAAAAAAAAAAAAAAAAAAAAAAAACCTTTGTTGTACATAAAAAATAAAAGTACCAAGTTGCCACACACATAAGAAAATCATACATTTGTACTGATCTAAAACCATATAAAATTTTGAAATATCTTAGCTTCGAAGACAAAAACAAAGAAGAAATGACAAGATCAAAAATAACTCAAAAGATAAATGTTAATACACCGCTTGTATAGCAGCACTGACACTGTAGTGGTCAACCAAATATATACTTTTGATATATTGCTACAATAAAGATTGTATTGTTAGTCTACTTCATTTTTTTTTTCTTTTTTTTATGTATTTTGTTACCTGACTATCATTTATGGTACAGTAAAGCCAATCCTAATGTTGCTTGTCTTGGAGATTTGCCTAATGTGATAATGTGATAAGCTATAAAAAAAAAAGGTCTGTAATTGAAACTTTACATGGTGAGAATACCCAAATGTTGGTAACAGTTAACTGGAAATTCAGAGTATACACACACCAGGTAACTAATCAATATACAACTCAAGATGCTGCTATTATCCTGTCTATATAACAGTGAATAAATGACTACAGTAACACTATCACACATGCTGATTGATCACACCCATCCTGGCCCTTTAACCCTCCCTCATATCCTTATTTACCTGATAGCCATTGTGAGTTTAGTTTATTAATTATCCTTACACACAGATGGCTCCATAAGTGCTTAGTCACCAATGAGCCAATAACTAGTACTACCTATCTAACCATATTACCCTTTTCTTTCATTTCGGGAAAAAAATTCTTTGATCAAATATTGCTATTAATAATGTCAACATTATAATACTCATGAAATCTATAATAATAATAATAATAATTATACTGATATTAATAGCATTATTAAAAAAAATAAATAAATAAAAATTTTCACAAAAGCTATATCACTTCACCTGGCTAAACATTTGTAGTGCCAGTTATGTATAGAGACATTCCAATAAACACTACATTTCCTAGCAGCATTGGCTTAATTTACATCACAGTTGTTTCAAGTAATGTCTAACACACTAGGGCTACGACAGGGAACCGAGTCAGGGGTTCAGAACCAATCACCATCTTCTCTTGAAATCTTTTACCAAAAAAGGATATATCTAACATAATCACACGCATTAGGAGCAACTATACTATGTATGCCTATGTATATATATCAGTCTAAGGAAGTGTACACATGTGTGTGTGAGTGTGCGTGTGTGTACTTAAGTATGCGAGTATGTGTACAAATATATGTACCCCCAGGAATCCTGATTTGGAAACCTGTAAAGGCTATAAAGACTCTTACTTTAAATGAATATCATTTATAATAACTAATGCTTCTGCTGAGGCATTACTGTTCAAAGCATAAACATTATGGAATATATTTCCTTCAAGCACAGTTTTTTTGAAGATTCAAATTCTCACTCATAGTGACCGACAGCTGGTTTAATGGCACTGGTTGCGTAATATAAAACTCACCTGGAAATCAAATAAACTGATAATAATGTAGGAAAAGATAAGAATGAGAACCAATATCTTCACAGTGCAAAAGAGGTGTCTAATGGTTAATGGTTAAAACAAATAGATGTGTAGGTCAGCAAGCGTCATACAGCACTATGGTAAAGTATTGTGAAAAAAGGGGTATAAATGACTTAATTATTAGAACAAAATGTGTTCGATGTCAATGGTCATACAGCATTATATGATTGTACAGTAGTGAAAAGGGTTAAGATGTATTTGATGCATTCGGATTGAAAACCCTGTCATTAATAAATGTAATTCTGATAATCGTTAAATTGAAGTAAGTCAAATATACTTCTTGCACTCTGAAAAGATACTCAATCTTATCTATACCTTTATCTACGTCCATCCCTATCTGGGGCAGCTATTGCCAAAACCAAGAAGAAATAACTGGTTTAAAATGCCATCATATGAAAGTGACTGAAACCCTCTTTGAGGTAGTACATGTACCAGCAATCTTCGTAAACAAACTTTTTCTTACACCGATTTGCAACACGACATTGCACTTTAAATGTCATGTTGAATTCTAGCTCCCAAAGAAAGTAGATCTTTGATATGGTGCTACTTCTTACATAAAGTGTCTTTTTACTTTCTAGCCTCATAAAATATTTCAATATGACCGCATCAGTTTCAGGATAAAAAACATCTCTTTGCTGCTGTTATCGACAAACATTATGAAAATTGTATGTTGCAACATATCATATATGTCTTGAGAAAAAAATTCCCATTTAAGAAAATTACTGCTTTTAAGTATATCTTATTTAAGACTGATTTTAGTCTTTGACAAATTCAG